TAGGGAAAGCTGGATAGAATAGACATATCCACTATCTAATAAGTTATTAGTTCAAATATTGACAAGGATTTTATTTTACATAGTAGGGAAAATAGGTAAGCTTGACTAAGACTATTAAGTTAATATTTTCCAGTAATTTTTAAATGTTGGACTATGTGTTGGAACACTATGAAGAATTTCAAAGGTTACTCAGATGCCGTTCGTGCTTCCATCTCCCCCAGTTATCACGTGATACAACAGTCATACTTTTAGGGGTCTATCTTCCCATTGGATGGGGAGTTTCTTGAGAAAAGGCCCACAGCTTATTCATCTTTACAGCTACAAGTCCCGGTTTACAGTAAATCTCAGTATTTATTTATAAAATGAATGAAAGCTTCTAACAATGAACATTAAATTTGTAAACATTTCCATTATAAGCCTTCTTTTGGAACGTGTTAGATAAATGCATCTGGAAGAAATATGATTTAATAAGGAAAACAACCAGCGGCTACACTGCTTCTAGAATCTCTTGAGTACTAATTTGAAAGGAACTATGAACATAAAGGCTCTCCTAAATGGATTCACCTTAAAGATGGCACTAAAATTTGGTTTAAATGACATAAGAGGAAAGCAGGCTCTACAGCAGTTCCATTTGAAGAATATGAAATTTCAATTTAAAAAGTATATGTGCCATTTAAGTTATTTTTAGTCTCTTTGGAATAATTTCTTTTGATCTTTTTTATTTTTGAGTACTGGTATTTTTTTCTTTTAAAGAAAGACATACTTTGTGTCATATAAATGCATATTTAGGAGTATTTTTTATGTAATTGCTTTAAATTCTGAACTTTATGAAAATATAGATTTAAGGAATCTGGTACTCTACATAGTCTAAATAATATGAATTGATAGGAAAATATCTTAATTAATGGATATTCTTGCCTATTTTAGATATTGATGAGTGTTTTGCACATCCTGGTGTGTGTGGGCCAGGGACCTGCTACAACACCCTGGGAAATTACACCTGCATTTGCCCACCTGAATACATGCAGGTCAATGGAGGCCACAACTGCATGGGTAGGTAAAGGTCTCTGAAATTAATTAAGTCATGGTTGTTGGCTTCCCACGTAAGGCATTCATGTCTCAATTATTGTTCATAAAGTTTGAAAATTAAATCTTTATGAATGATTATGTATTTCAAAGTCTTATAAACTTCTGGTTCTGTATTATGTTTTTAAACATTGGCTGTATAGTTACATTTTTTGTTACCCTTTGATTCCATATAAAAGTAAATAAGTCACAGTAATATAATACAGCACAGAGAATACAGTCAATAATATCTTAATAACTTTGTATGGTGACAGGTGGTTACTAGACATATTGTGGTGATCACATTATAAGGTACATAAATGTAGAATCACTAAGTTGTACACCTGAAACTAATGTAATATTGTATGTAAACTATTCTTTAATTTTTGAGAAGCAAATTATGTAGTTACATTCTAAAAGCATGAGTTTGAGGTAGAAAAATTTCACCAAATGTTACAATTACACGTTATTAAGTAATTTTAATTTTTCATTCATATACAGTGAACATTGTTTTACAAATGAGAACATTTCAAATTTAATATGTACTGCATTTTTTAAATGCCTTTCAGTAGAGAAACAAATATCTAACTTTGTTTCCAAAAAAATTATAAACAAAATCCCTTTTTTGAAAACAGGAGAGATGCTAATCTAAAAAATGATTTATGTTCAACTTAATAATTTTAAGGTAACTTCCAAATGACTGAGAAAGTTTTCCGAGTTGTGTTAATGGAGAAAGTCTTCAGGTGTGTAGGCTTCATTATCAGCTGCTTGCTGATATGATTAGTTGGCTTATTTGTTTTTCAATATGTAGACATGAGAAAAAGCTTTTGCTACCGAAGCTACAATGGAACCACTTGTGAAAACGAGTTGCCTTTTAATGTGACAAAGAGGATGTGCTGCTGCACATACAATGTGGGCAAAGCCTGGAACAAACCTTGTGAACCATGCCCAACACCAGGAACAGGTAAGCACACAGCTCATGCTTCTGCTGAAGGCCGAGTCAGTGACACACACTTTTATGTGACACTGTAGTAAGAACAAATCTGTACTAAAACCAGATATGCTCAATTCTGAAACTTGAGTGGCCCTTTTTGGGATTCAAACACTAATTTCTGAGGGGTCTGGATCCTGAAAATAAGCTCCATTGCCATAGTTTTGTTTTGAAAAATCAAATAGAAACATTTTTACAGTTCTCTAATTTAAAAATTCCATCAATTAGGAATTTAAGATCACTGGTTTGTGGAATGAAATACCACTTTTTTTGTAAGAGGAAGTAAAGGGCTTAGGTTTGAGAGACAATTCTGTATTTAAATCGAAGCTCTGCCACTTATTGTCTGACCTTATGTAGATTATTTATCCTTTCTGAAACTGATCCCTCATATATAAAATAAGGATAGTAAATAACTACAGTGACTAATTCATATGATTATAGTGACGGTTAGATGAGATGATGTACATAAATTACAGTTTGTACATTGCCAGGAAATTGGAAACCATTAAACTGAGCGTCTATTATGTACCTCTCGTACCTCTCTATATGTTTTGGATGCTCGGTGAATATTGGTAGATGAAATATACAAAGTCCCTCCCCTGATAGCACTTGGAGTAGTGTATGTATGTGTTTTACTTAATACTGTTTTCATGAGTTTTACTCAGTTGTGCAGTAGTGGGCATCAGAAACAATCTGCTTCATAAAAATTAGTATGTTTTTAATGTCTCTTAGTTTGGTGAATTATGTATAGGAGTAACTCTCACTGTCTCTATTTTATTCTATGATGCATTATTTTTGGTGCCTCAAATTTCACATTCTAACAAATAAACGTTTATGTTTTAAGAAAAGACAAAATTCATGTCTCATTCATTATTCATCATTAATGTGTTTGACCACTACAAAATTATTTTTTTATGCCCATACCTTTGTGCAATTCATAATCCCCTTTTAAATTTGTACTCTAATCTGGTTTTTTCGTCTGTTTAAATTGACTCATTTTTAAAGCTCTGCATATGAAGAGGAAAAAAGAATTTATGTGCCTAAAAAAGATATTTTGAATCTTATAATGATTTATTTATCTTTTAATTGCAGAGCAGTAAAAAGCTAATAGTAATGACAACAATAATAATAGTAAAGAATGCTGAGATCTGCCCCTTGGATGGAGGAGCTGGCATTGTTGTCAAATAAATATAATTGAAATGAAAAAGTCTGGTTGTGAATAATATAAAATATATTTGTCAGTGAAAGTAATACTATGTAAAATGTTATTTTAAAGGAGTTTGAAAATTTTAAGAGTGTATTTACTTTGTTTTTATTTTAAAGCTGACTTTAAAACCATATGTGGAAATATTCCTGGATTCACCTTTGACATTCACACAGGAAAAGCTGTTGGTGAGTTTTTCCAGATTATGTTTATTTTAATATATATATGTAGCATTTTGTAAAAATCTATTCAGTGTTTTTAAAATTTGAAATACCATAAAATATAGTAATCTGGATTCTGACCTAACGTAGACAAGAAAGAGACAACATATTTATAGACTCTAATCAAGTGTTAATAATAATAATAATCTATCAGCATAGCCTGATGATTGAGTTTTGATAGTTATGTGACTATCTTAAGATTTTATATGTGTCAAGCTAAAACTCTAGTTTTCCTTATCATGAATATGATATTACATATTAATTCTAAATAATCCCCCTTATTTTAACCTTTAGTTGCTGTTTTCATAAGTATATGTTTAAGTTTTGGGTATATTTTTGCAGTATCCCTTTCTGTTGATCTACTGATGAATTCGCAAGATTATTAATTATATGTTACTTCTAAATGTACTTTCTATTGCTCATTCTACTTTTCTTCCTCGAAGATTAAACAAGTAATAAAAATTCAAGTCTCTATTATCAATGCATATACAACAAAGTATATAAAATAAAGAAAACACATCTTCTTTTATCAGATGAGTAGCAGCAGTTACAGGAGCCAGATGCATAACTTGAAAAGGAGGCTTGGTTCCCTAGAAGTTCAATTGCTACATTGACACTAAAATCTCTTGGCATATTTGCTCAGCTCCTTACATTTCCCATCACTGTTTAAAGGAAGTACTCTATTTTATGGTCTGTATGCTTTCATGAACCACAAAATCACTCATCCCGGTATAGAATTGATTTTTGTGACGCTGAGTGTGTGTTCTCATTCCAGTGTACACATAGCGTTATTCAAGGTTTTATGGTAAATACATTAAGCTGAACCACATATACTTAACCAAGTCTGTTCAATTTCAGACATTGATGAATGTAAAGAGATTCCAGGCATTTGTGCAAATGGCGTGTGCATCAACCAGATTGGCAGTTTCCGCTGTGAGTGCCCTACTGGATTCAGTTACAATGACCTGCTCCTGGTCTGTGAAGGTAATCTGAATGATGTGTGTATCACCTTTAGCCAAAACAGTTTGGTAGACAGAAATGAGTTTTAGAAAGTTTCCTGATTTTTACTGTTTCTCCCTCAGTATTTCAGAATCAGTCACCAAACTGGTTAAGTGAATATAATACTAATGCAGTAATAAAATATTTAAATGGAAGTGTTACTCTTTCAGATATTGATGAATGCAGCAATGGCGATAATCTGTGCCAGCGAAATGCAGACTGCATCAATAGCCCTGGCAGTTACCGCTGTGAATGTGCTGCGGGTTTCAAACTCTCACCCAACGGAGCCTGTGTGGGTAAGGGGCCTGACTCATCCTTTGGCACTGAGCACAACATTTTTCACATTTCCTATGCTAAAAAATTGTCCATGCTTTTCTATTAAAAATATTTTCAAAGATAATTCTGAAAAGATGTTCTGAATAAGTCTATTCATTCATATTGAACCTGCTTCACCATGTATTATAGATTATTTTGTTCAGAAAAGAGGATTTTTTTCAGTGGATTTTCCTAGGATTAACCCTAAAATAAAATCGTATCTTTGAGATACCAATTAAGACATATAAATTGCATGATTTTAAAAGAAAGAGACTTGGATACTTTAAAGACTTGCTTTATTTTGATTTGCCTGTTGTTATGGTTCATTTTCAGCCTGTCTATATTAATTAACAGCAGGTTATAGAAACACGTCTGTGAAAGAATGAAGGAATCTTAATAAAAATCAGATATGTATCCCATGTGTTTTATTTTGTTTTAGATCGCAATGAATGTTTAGAAATTCCTAATGTTTGTAGTCATGGCCTGTGTGTTGATTTGCAAGGAAGTTACCAGTGCATCTGCCACAATGGCTTTAAGGCGTCTCAGGACCAGACCATGTGCATGGGTAAGAGGAGAACATTAGTTCTAGCGGGTGAAGTGGGGCTGAGCATCCAGAGATCACACATAGTTCAGTCATTGCCGCAGTAACTACCATGGCCCTTTCAGAAACAGTCCTGCAAAAAGTTAACTGTGTTAAACTGGTTTTGGTTTAATTCAATGCAAAATTTGCAAGCAGGGACACACTACACAATATGTCCCTCAGTTTAGTGTTCACAACATTTTTCCCCAGATGACTTTCACATAAGCTTAACTATACTCTGGGGACACTCAGCATATATGGAAGTCACCACAGTACCAGCTGCCCTCTGCCCCTCTCTGTTCCCACTCCAGAAAGCCTTTCAAATGTATAAATAAATGCAAAGAAGTAGAAAGGATGACAGTATTGAAATGAATATTCATGTGCACACACACACACACACACACACACACACACACATTGCCACCATAAAGATATTAGGAAATGATTTTTCAGGTTTTCCAAACTTCTACCATAAGGAAAACCTAAACACACACACACACACACACACACACACACACACACACACACTCACACACACACTTTTTCCCAAAAATCATTGAACGCGTGAGATTTGTGTGCTTCTTTTGTGTTTTAACTTTTAAAAACAATTTTTAGAAGCAAATTTGCAAAACTCTTTAAAAAGTCCCAGTAGCTAATATAATCATTAGTTAAATAGTAGTAGTGTTCACTAAGTATTTGCTGAGCTGACGAGTAGTAAGATTTCAAAAGCAGATGGGCCGGACGCTTTGGAACTCAGCGTAACTCCTTAAATCTGATGTCAGCCACTGGCTCTACCTCTGCCCAAAGACTTCATGTTTTGCACTTGAAGGAGGAAAATCAAATTTAAAACTTAGCTAATTATAATTAGCATTTCTCAGTTTAGAAAAAGCTAAAGTTGTGCATCTACTCCTTTGGTATTCAAGAAACTATCTACATGAATAGTAAGTCTGGTTTCAGTACCGCAGGACTCCAAAACTAGTTTTACATTATGTTTTTACCACGAGGACATCCCATCTCCCATTGGCTCCTAAGGGCGCCCGAAAGGACTTCTCCCATGGTGGTCGGAAACATTCTCTCGAGAATGCTGGCCCTATTTGCAGGGACTTTCTGAGGATCCTTGCTTATATATGCTTCTCCTGGCTATGCTCTCTGAGGGAGAGAATATAAATTGCTAAAATATATATGAGATTAATGGATTGGGAATTTATATGAGGAAAATCTTTCCTCAGTCCTAACAAATTATCCATGACAAAAGTCAGCTAAATTCTTCAATAACACTTATCTTAAAACAAAACTTTCTTCCTAAGGAATAATACCTTTTTTTTTTTTGCACAGTTAGAAGAGTTTCAGCAGCCTAGAATTCACGGTCTAGGGAATCTGCTCTCTTGTATGAGGATGACTTCTCTAAATAGTTTCTTAATATTTTCATTTTTTTCAAAGTCTAGTAATATTGAGTTCTAATAGACTTCTTCAGTTTGGATTCCACTGACTCATAAAATTTAGGAAACTAAAGTTTATCTTTGTTGTGCTGATAAAATTAAGGTATATACATTCTTGGGGGAATATTTACAATGTTTACTAGAACAAATTGTTTCAGTTTTTCGAAAGATTGGTTTCCTTACAGTTATCAAGGAAACTATTTCATTAAAACATCTCCACTAAGAGAATGCTTGCCTAGCCTGGGTCTGAGTGTTTTTTGTGCCTGTAGATCATTAAACAGCACTTTTTTTCCTTATAATTTTACAATTTAGAGTTTTCTCTACTTCATATTTATTTCCCTTGAGTAAATATGGGTTCTTAGCATTGAAAAAGGAAAAGCTAAGTCAGTCAGTAGTTTAAAATAATGTGGATGTTTAGTAGGCTCTGTTTTTCTGGTTAAAAGTGGGATGCTTTGACCCAATGTTCCTCTGCAGATGTAGACGAGTGTGAGCGGCATCCGTGTGGAAATGGGACTTGTAAAAACACTGTTGGGTCCTATAACTGTCTCTGCTACCCGGGATTTGAACTTACTCATAATAACGATTGTCTGGGTAAGTACTCGTTCAGTCTTCTATTGCTTCTATTTCCTTTCCACACAATACACTGAAATAAAACATAAAGCCAAAGAATAAATATTTTTATTGTTAAAATTGCAAATGTATGCCAAAAGGAATGTAGTATCATTGACTAATTTCTAGTCAACTAAAAGCCTTTGTATTGGCTTAAGTAATAACAAAACCATCTGCTGCGTTGAGTTCTCTCAGTCAACCAGTCGACTCAGGGAGAGGCCGTGAAAGTGATAGATAGTAAATGTATTGGGACTGCTTTATGGGTTGAAATTATTTTTACCCCTTAGACGGGATCAAGGATAGACCAGTCATTGTTTCACTGTTATTACAAGTATTTCATATAATACATTCTTGACTTCTATACAAATACTGACAGTCCCCAACTTAGAAACATGTGTGTTGAAACTTTGTTGTTAAAGCCAGGGAAGCCTTTTCCCACAGAAGCAGCATATGGTGACTGGGATTCGAAGTCACCCCTCAGAAGCCCATTTGATCTCTGTGACCAACCGTAGGTTTATAGTGGAAAATAAAACTGTCTCCTAGGTGTGGTACAGGGTTTTATAGCCTTTGTCCCTAACAGACATTGATTGAAATAAGAATTGCTAGCGAATGGGGGTTGAGAGGGCGGGGATGCCTGTGTTTGGTGAAGGAGATAGGGAGAGAAATGACGATAGATGACAGTATTTCTTGTTTACCGTGTGCCAAGCACTGATCTGTGCTTTACAATGTAACATCTCTTAATTCACGTGATCCTATGAGGTATGTGAAAGTAACTCAGGCTTTCTCCCATTATGGGACCATCACAGCTCAAAACTACCTTCTTAACAGTTAACCCAATGTATCTTCCTTTCAGTTTTGTTTTTCAAAATTCTGAAACTGAGAAAATTTTAGAGCTAATTGAACATTTTAGTCAACTACTACCTTCTTGTCTATAGTTCGTCAGGCCCTTTAAACAGCCAGGGAGACCTAAAGACACGAATATGACTCTGATCAAAGTACAATCTTCAAACAACCCAGAAAATTACTCAGATGAAGGCAACTCTAAGCTTAACTGAAAATCTAACACTAAAAGATTTTTTTTCAAATTCTGTATTCTGTCAGCAAAACATGTCAGCAATTCTGAAATCTTTTTAATATAATTGATTTTTTTTTTGTATTTAATATACTCCGTTATTTGTCTTTTGAATAAAGTCAGCTTATCTCCAGGTAAAGTCACCTGCAAACTATGCAGTCAAGTTAAATTCATATATACTTCTGCCTCTGGAAAAATAAAAAAATAAATATTTTTTTCAATTTGAAAGAATGGAAAGCTTCACCTGAAACCTTCAACTTTTATTTGTTTATAAATTTCTGAGTTATATTAATATCAAAAATGTGCCCTTATGGTTGAAATACAGTAGTGATCAATGTGAACTTATAAGTCACATGATACTTATGATATGAGCCTTTTTTCTCTATGATGAGGAATTGTAGTGTAAGGTTTTTGTAAATGTGTACCATTAAATGTTTTTAATTGCAAGTCGTAACACCATATATCTGTGAGAGTTCTCTCTGAAAAGCTAACACCTGTTTGCTTGCAGACATCGATGAGTGCAGTTCCTTTTTTGGTCAAGTGTGCAGAAATGGACGGTGTTTTAATGAAATTGGCTCCTTCAAGTGTTTATGTAATGAAGGTTATGAACTTACTCCAGATGGCAAGAACTGTATAGGTAAGTATCTAAACAATAAACATTCCTTATGTTGTTTCATTTCGTAAATTATTGATGTGACTCCTCCTCAACCCCCATTTAAGGACTCTTTTGCATTTCATTTGATTATCTGATCACATGACCAAGTTAAGATATAGTGGAAAATATTCCTTAAGGTCAAAACCAACAATTGGAAATGACTTGTGTACAGTGTTTTACTGGGACAGACCTTGAAGCTGTCCATGTCTCAGCAAACATAGGCAAAGGAAACAAAGCAAGAAAATTAGCCTCTTGCCAAACGAGTAATACCCAAGATGTCCATATTAGTCCATAGTGACCTGGCAGATCAGAGGGCAACAAGTTCCTCATATTTGAATCATTTTTTTCTCTCGTTTCTCTTCAAAGATACTAATGAGTGTGTTGCCCTTCCCGGCTCTTGTTCTCCTGGTACCTGTCAGAATCTGGAGGGATCTTTCAGATGCATCTGTCCCCCGGGGTATGAAGTAAAAAGCGAGAACTGTATCGGTAAGGCTAACGTTCATTCTGAGGTTCATGAGCTGTTCAGTATAGTAAGACCTGGTACTGACTCTATGGAAGTCTACTAAATCCAAACCACCGCAGGCATACTGACCCAAGGAATTAAACATACAGCTACCTACATCTGTTTTATTGGACCATCAGAAATGATTTGAAGAAGGAGTGGTGGGAATACAGAATTTAGGGATGTGGGATTTTTCATTAACAGAAATCTTACACTAGTTAAAGAATATTCAGCGTTCTCTAATCTTTTTTCCAAATGTCAACAGAGACTTTCTGTTGAATTTAAAGAGTGTCTACAAAAATTGTAATCTTTGGCAACCAATTTTAAAACAGCTATTAAAGGTGTCCAGAGTCTTAGAAATGTGAGGCAGAAAATCTTGACAGCTCTGTTGAGACTTTTTTTCCTTGGGAAGGCCTCATGTCAAAACAGAAAATATTAATCCATTTGTCATAACAGATGTTTTTTTCTGTTGAAACTCTTCCAGCTTACAAGAACATTTGTAACCACATCAAAACTGGGTCCCAGAATTTCCTGGTGGACATGATGAAGGCCGACCTTTTTACAGTTACTTTATTTCACTTTGATACAAATTATTTTTTACAGTCTTGTTGAAATTCAGAAGCACCAGCATCTTAGTGTGATTACTAAGGGGTTTTTCGCCTTCATGTTATCCAGTTTTTTTAAAAAAAATTCTGTGTAGTTCTGCTGTTCACATTTAAGAGACATATAGACAGAACTGAAAGAAACAGTTTACTCCATCGAATTATTTTCAGACCATATAATAATATACAATTGGTATACCTCATCATTCCAATTTGGTCTTTATATCTATCTTTTCCCTTTTCTGTCTGATAAGTAATATTGTAATATTGTCTAGTGTTTTTAATACTAAAAAAAATACTAGAAACAGCTTAGTAATAAATTTATTGAAAAATTAAGTTTAAGATCCTTTCTTCCGTTTTATTTTTTCATATTTAACCTCAGTTCTTTGTCATCCCTATGACCCATCCCTTTGTGAAACAATCCACAGTTAGCAGTGTGTCATCCATAGAAATACATGTTTCTTTGTATCAAAAAGATTCAACTACCTTTTCTCTTAGTGAAAAACATCTATGATTCAGTTACATTATTAAAACTTCAGAAATATTTTATTTTTCCATTGTTAGCAACACCACTGTTTTACATCTCTCAAAAATTGGTTTTTAATTAACTTTATATAAGAATATTTCCTAGTAGAGACTAGGATCTCTACTACCAATTTTTCCTAGATGAAATGCTTCCCAGCACCCTCACAAACAAACACATACATATACACATGTATACACACACACACACACACAAATCCATTCCAACATTTAGTGGACATTACAGAAAACACAGCACTTTTTAGGTGCTGGAAATAAAAAATATAGTCCTTGCCTTCACATAACTTACTACCTAACAGAAAAGCCATATTTTGTAAGTAAACCTGTTTTATAAAACTATCCTTACAATCCAGTGTGACAGACACTGTCCTGGAGGTATGTTCAGGATGTGGGAACACAGTGAATAATGATGGTCGTGGTGAGAGGATGGCATGTCAAAGAAGCCCATCACAAAGGATTGGTGACATTTGAGGTGGCTCTTAAATGTTGGATAGGAATTTACTAATTAAAGGAGGGAATGGAACAAAGAAGTCCATGTGAAAAGACAAGTGACACAAGCATGCTAAGGGGCATCAAATGGCCAGCAGGGTGGAGCATTGCGGGTTTTTTTCAGAAAGGATGTGATATACTCACTCATAAAAATTCTGCAAATATAAATTGAGAACATAATATGTGCCAGAAACTATGCTAGACTAAGCTGAAGGGGCAACAGTGATCCAGACAGACAGATACGTCACTTCCTCATGGAGCTTACATTCTAATGTGCCTGGAATTGTGTAATGTTTATTTAGTTAGTTAAAATAACCCATTAAATAAGCACTTCCAATGAAAAAAGGCCAAACATCACTGGTAGGGAATCCTTACTTATTTTAAGGAAGGAACTATTCTGGCGTGAGGTGAGAATGATGAAATTCTCAAAACATGTCAGTCCTCCTAGTTTCGTAGGCAAAGATTTTCAAATAGATATGTGTTTTTGAAAGACAGTAGGAAGAGAGGGAGATACTGTAGTCAATTAGGAGATTTATGGCAATCTTGTGGCAAATGATGTTGAGTTTGAATGGACAGAGGAGGCAGAATTGACAGGCCACATGCTACTTGCATGTGGAGGTTAAAG